CAGCCGGCTGTCAACCAGCACCCCCAGGTCCTTTTCCGCCAGGCAGCTTTCCAGCCACTCTTCCCCAAGCCTGTAGCGCTGCATGGGGTTGTTGTGGCCGAAGTCCAGGACCCGGCACTTGACCTTGTTGCACCTCATACGGTTGGCCTCGGCCCATTGATCCAGCCTGTCCAGGTCCCTCTGCAGAGCCTTCTACCCTCGAGCAGATCAACACTCCCGCCCAACTTGGTGTCGTCTGCAAACTTACTGAGGGTGCACTCGATCTCCTCATCCAGATCATCGATAAAGATATTGAACAAGACCGGCCCCAAAACTGAGCCCTGGGGAACACCGCTCATGACCAGCTGCCAACGTTATGACAAAGCTATGCAGAAAATTACCATGATTAGCCATATTAAATGGTTCTTCATCACTGCTAATGCTTGGCTGCTAGGAATAATGCCAAAGCTAATAGATATAATTTATTTAAAGCCCTGGCAGCCTGTTGCTTTGTTAGTTAGCAGTAGTAATACCAGTAGTAATGTTAAACATTCTCTGAAAATACAGTTTGGGCTGATGTATAATTACTTTGGTTGCTGCACAGCTTTTTCATGTGTTCTTTTTAATTGCTTGGTTATTTACAGGATTTAAATTATTCCTTCGGAGTAGCGGTGCCAGCGGTACCGTATAACATCGCTATTGCTCCTGTTATTGCCGATTGTAGCACTGCGGAGTTCAGGAGCCTCATAAAAAGTAGAGTTGTGTTAGGTGCTCTACATGGAAGAACTTGTGATCTGATTAAGAAGTTCTTAGGGTAGGAGTCAAGACTTCTCTGCTGCAGATCACAAATGGGGAGCCCAGTGCAACTTCAGAAGTGCTGGGAATAAAGCTCACATCTCCTAGGGCTGGGGCAATGAGTGAAGGCTGTGGTTCCCCCACATCCCGCCTGACCCACACTGGCTTAGTTCGCCTCCTCCCCCACGATGGGGGTGCGATGCCAGGGCTGCAGAGGGAACCCCAGGCTTCTCGGGGTCCCACGTGCTGGAGCAGAGCTGCTTCCCACCGCATTGCAGGCGCTGCCTGGACGTAGCCCGAGCCTGCCAGCAGGACAGGCGGTCCGCGAGGTTGGAGATGACATTTCAGGGATGGGTTTGGCAGCGGCATTAATAGCAGGCTGGAGAGGTGCGATAGGATTGCCAGTGCCTCTGATGCAGGGCAGGCAGCCTGATGCAGATTGCGAGTGAGCAGCAGCGTCAGTCCCCAGCACCTCCGTGTGAATAGGAGCGGCAGGGATGTCCAAACGTCACTCCCAGGCTGTCACCTCCAGCCTGTGCTCCTGCTCCTGCCCAGCACCATCCCCAAGTGGTACCTGCCTCTACTGGGACTACCGCAGTGACCCAGCCAAAGCACTAGGAGCAAAATCCTTTGTGTTAAGATCCATCAGAAATTCGGGGAGAGTTTCAGTGAAACAATATGTTGTTTAGTTTTGAGAGGTTACTTCGAGCCAGTTTGAAACATTTCTGTGACCCACAGCAATGGTCTGTTTATCTTTTATTATTAAACCTTGTGTTTACTCTTTTTAATTTTTAGCATATGCTAGTTTACAATCTAAGATGCTGTTTTGATAATAAAGTTTTTAAAAAAAAATGTTTAGGAAATCATGAAATGAGATGTTTGGGCCTTTCTGAGATGAAATGTTCCCCTTTGAAGTGAAACTATTTTGATCTCTTCAGAGTAAGCTCTTTATTCACCGTCCGAAATGGTTATCTGAATTCAACTGGTTTAAGGTCGGTCTCTGGGATGTATGGAAAAGTGGCTTTAAGTTGCCCATTTCCACCAGAAATAGCAGTGAAACTGAAACTTCAGAAATACAGGCTGGTAAGCAAAGAGGGGCAGCCACTTCGGGAAGGGGGAGCGGGACCTGTGGGGAGACCCTCTCTGGGACCGAAGAGGCAGGAGGAGCCACTGCCTTGGCCAGGGCACTGCAGCCGAGGATGGTCGTCCCAGCCTTTCGTAGACTGGTAGCAGCATACCGCCTTCTACGAGCATCCTCCTTTGATCATTTTGCTGCAGGTCTGGTTGTTTTCTATGTTTCTCTGTATTTTATTGGTACAACTCCAGCAACGTGAGTGAAGTTTTCCCGATTTTACAGTTGAGCGGTGTTAAGCAGAGGCTGGTCCGTTTGCTTCCTGGGTAATAGCTGTTTAAACCCTTTCAGCTGGATGTGTAGTGCAGCTGGCCTTATTCCCCCAAGTTTGTCATTTAATAATAGAGAAGTAGCTGAGCCATCCAAAGCATACATCTAGAGCTGGCCTAAATGGGAGTGCATGGGCACGGAAGACTCAGATTTGCCGGCTTCAATAAAAAAGACTAATGTACTCACTACGGAAGATGTGAGCATACCCCTATAGAGATTCTGTGCATTAATCGGATGGTTTTTTGCATGTTTGTAAATGCCTTCTTTATGCACACGTTTTGCTGCCACGTTCTGATACACAAACACCCAGCCACCCATCTAACCAGGGCTTTGCACGGGGAAGGAGTCTCGGGAGCTGCCTGCCCATGTTCAACTCCTAGGACTGCACAGTGACAGTAGCAGCAGCCGTGCAACCACGAGTGCAGCTTTAAAATGAAGTTAAATGTAATTTCTGTTGTGCAGAGAATGTTTTCCTTTTTCTACTAAATCCCCAAGGTTTTCTGTCTAGTGAAAGAAGTGTGTTGTCATGTGATACAAGAAAGTAAGATGACATTTGAAGTGGCGTTAGTGGAAAATATCATTGTGCTGAAACCAGTTTCTGAAATAAACCATATTTGGCACTTGTAAAATGACAGCAAATAGATTTAGAAGTTTTGGGCTAAGTTATCAGATGATGTAAACTGGCACAACTCCATTGAAGTTTATGGAGAGATGCCAGCTTACATCAGTGGAGAATTTGGCCCTTTTAAAAAACAAGCTACAATCCTTATCTAAGATTTTCCATTCTTCATCTCTTGGGTGAAGGAAAAAAAAAGCCCTTTTATATTTTATAGTAAATTTGTTGGAAAATGCAATGGGTGTTTGCAAGCAGTCATATCTACAGTTATAAACCATAGCTGGTAGACTCAGAAGCCGGAGCTGGTGGAGCTGATGGTTGTGTCTAATGTACAATGTAGGTGGTCCCCTCGTGCACGTATCCACTGCCTGGATGATGCCCAGGACAGGATTACGCTGGGAATAGCAGCAATGTACAGACTGTCTCGGCCATAATTTCCTGGCTGAGTTGACCGTGTTTTCATGCTTCCTTGTCCAGAAGCTTTGTCATTATCTGCTGCTCTCTGAGATAATAGCCAGTGTGGAAAATCCAGCCTGCTATCTTGCTGAAACAGAGAGGTGGATAATTTTCTCCATGGACAATCTGCAGATATGATTGCTTGAGTTCAGAAGGGATTGGCCATTTCCCTAGGGACAGGTCTGTGTCTGGAGGAAGGAACGTCCCAACTTCTCTACATCGTTGAATTTTATATGCAAGTGTAGGGTCTTTCTTCTCTTGAGTAGCTAGAGTCTCTGGAAAGGCTGTTTGTGGCTACCTGCAAGTCAGACCAGTTCTCTGGCAGGGCCTGACCGAGGCTATGGATGGTGGAGATTGTTTAGGTTTTTTTTAAAATTAATCAGGTTGTCATTGAAAAGTGGGGTGGTTAGTCTGCTGCTCGGAAAAGACCTTCTCAGTACTGCTCTTTGACAGCTGTCATCGTGTCTCGAAAATTACTTTTTGGGTGGTAGTGGAGAGGTGGCTGTAGCATTGTCCATACTTCTGTACTACCAGGTTGTCCATCCTTCTGTACTAGTCAGGTCTGAGGCACAGCTGCAGCACAGAGGAGATGGCTTTGGCCTCAGTGGCTGAGAATATCCATGTTGGTTCCTTCTGTGGTAGTCTTGGCCTTTGGCAGTGGAAGCCATGAGACTCTGGTGACCTCCTGGGGGTCCTGACAGAAGCTAATGGTGTGTACTGACCTGGGTCTGACCCCTAGTCACTGCAAGGCAGGAGGTCAGCCATCGATCTCAAGGTCCCATTTATGTGGGCTCTGGCAGATCATCTCCTGGCTGCTCCTGAATATGCGTGGGTCTGTGAGAGGGAGGCAATGAGGCGGCCTGGACTGTGCAGTCATTGCTGCACAGATGACTCACGTCTTCAACTTTTTTCATATTCAGTCCAGAAAACGCCATTTTGGTGTTTCCCCAGTGCTTTGCTGAGGTAGGAGTTTGGATGGGGAAGAGGTGAGTCAAGCTCAAGCTGGGAGATTTAAAGGTGGTGCCAGATGTTTGGGAAACTTGGCCAAGAGGCACATGAGATCAACAGCTGTCCTTCTGACAACAGTTTGCTCCCTTTGAAAGAAAAATTCAGAGTATTCTCAGCTTTCTGCTTTGCCCCTGAATTGCAAAGTCACCAAAGAGTGCTTCGTAGCAGCTTCATTTAGCATGATGTTTGTGACCATTTCCATGGACTTCTGCCTTCCCAACTTTTGTCACCTCCAGCTAAGTCTATTGTGTAGCTGTTTAAAAGGAGCAGTGCTTGAACAGAGCTTGGAAGCTTTATCCGGGGAAAAGCGCACCAGCTGACAGGCTTTTAGCAGTGCTGTTCAGAAGTACGTCCATGGAATAGTCTTCCAGGAGAAAATTAAGAACTCATTTTGATTTGTAATGTTTTCGGTATGGTGTCGAGGATTCAAATCTGGTCTGAATCTGGAAGACAGCTCTTCCAGGAGCTGAGGAATGCCAGGAGCCCATGGGGACTGTTGGGGCTCTGGCTCTGTGGTGGAGAGGAGGACAGAAAAAAATGGCTGCTGGGTGGGATGATCAAGGGGGAAAAAAAAAGATGATCAAGGAAAAAATATTAATAATAAATAAATAAAGCTCTGGATACTTAGCTGATGTGTTTGGCAACATGTGAGTGCCTTGTGCTCACTACCATGTTATCATCACAGCAGCACAGCGAGGAGAGGAAGTGTTATGATTCCCATCTAGCAGATGGGGAGATGGAGCTATGAAGACGCACAGCAAAGCCTGGGATGGAGCAGGGAGATGAGTCCCTATTCCTCAATTAGCAACCCAACCATTGCTCCCTGTTGGCAGTCCATTGGTGGCCGTGCAAGGTCTGTAGGGAAGGCACCCATCCAGCTGAGCTGGGTTTGTCCTCTTTACCCTGGGATTTGTCCCACGGCTCCTTTGTCTACCCTCCGTCTTGGGAGAAAATCCTCCCAAGCAGCAGTCAGTGTTTGAGCTTTAAAATGCAATGGGTTGTTGCTGATTTAGAGCGGTAGTCACTCAGATTTGTGGCCTCAGAGACCGACTTTGTCATTCTTCTGCCCTCTGAAAATGAGGAACGACTGCTGGACTTGGCAGCCGAGTGGCGGACTGACGCATGGTCGGTCCCCTGCTGCCAGGGCTGGCAGATGCTGCGAGCACCGTGGCGTTGGCATCCTCCTCCTCATTGTTGTTTTGTGGTGATCTCACCCTGGCTCCCAGGGACTATCCCATGAGCACTGCTGGCTGGCACCTGGCCCACGCATCCTTATGAAGATGTTAGTCTGACATCCGAGGAGTGGGACAGTGATGGGCAGAAGTTAGTGTCTTAAAGAGGCTCTTCTGTCTTGCCTTCAAATTGTCCAAATTCTCATCAGGATTCTAAATCACAGATTATTTATCTTTTTTTTATAGCAGATATCTGAAGTCTTCTAGGAAAATTTTTGGGATAATTTGATGGAAAAAGTTGGGTTTTTGCCAAGTCTGGTATGACTCCTTCTTCAACTGTGGGCAAAGTCATAACCCATTTGTACCTCAGGTTCCTAGCCTCAATGTGGAGATCCTTTGCTCCATCCTGTTTCCCTTTCTTGTGTCTTTAGATGGTAATTTTTTAGGCTAAGGACTGTCTCTGGTTGTACAATACCCTGTACTCTGGCCTAAAATAACAGTTCAGTACTTTATTCTTAGTCCTACTACGTGTTTTGTATGTGACGCTGGGTCAATCACTTACCCTCTCAGCGCTTCTGTTTTCCTATCTGCAAAGTAGAGATAATGCCTACTTCCAAAGCAGATCCCTTGGCTGGAAGGTGCCACCTACGTGCTGAGCACTGTTACTCCCTCTGCTAAATGCGCATGTGATTGTCATTAAACACGGACAGGACAGGCAGTTTTGTAACGGCGTCTGTCCCCCGTGAATGCAGGGACCTGTAATGGATCTGGTCTGGGGGGGCAGTACCACCTGCTGAATGCGCTGCCGTGATGAACGGTAGCATTTTTCTTTTTCAACAATTGGACAGCACTGTCTTCTGTGAGGTTTGCATTAAGATAAGATGGGTTTTGTTCAGATTTCTGCGTTTTTTTTTTTTCCCCCCAGCATTGTTCAAACTGGACAAAGGGTTCTTTGTAGACGTGTTAGTGGTGGCTTGCTTCTATCAAAGACATGAACAGTTTCTCACCAAGCAATCGACAGGAGCCAGTATTCATGTGTGTGGAAGTGCAATGAAGTGATATAGTGACTGTTCTGAAGCCATCAATTAACTGATTGATTATATTACATATTATAATACGTATTATATATGCTATAACTGAGATTAACTCTAAATTGCATTTATGTCTCCAAAATACAGGTGTGATGGCTGGGTTCAATATGAGCGGAGATCTCCAGAAGCCTGCTACCAACATCCCCCTGGGGTCTCTGGCCGCTATTGGCACCTCGTAAGTCATAGATTGGGGAAAATGTACTCTTTGGAGACTGCCCTGGATGTGACCAATCCATTTCATATTCCCATCAACCTTTTATTACTCAGCCATCTGGAAAATTAAAGTCTGGCTCTCATTCAAATTATCATCCATTACCACCACCTACTCTGGGTGGGTTAGAGAAGAGGTTCGTTAATGTGGATGTAATCAGTCCTTCCTCCGCCGAGTGGGCTGTGTGTCGGTGCTAGAGCGGTTGTGCTGCTGCAGCCCTGCTGTCCAAGAGCAGGATGCAAAGTTCTCAGAGGCCTGGGGTGTGTGATTTTGTCGCTTATTGCTGTTGATTTCAAAGTGCTTTCTTTTTCTATATACATAGAAAATGTATAAAATATAAAATATAAAAAAATTATAATTTTTATTATTGGGAAAATGGGGCCAAGACAGGTGAGATGACTTACCCACCTGCAAGGTCAGGGGATCGCAGGAGCCCTGCATCCCCAAGCAGTGCTCTCCCCTGGGAAATGCTGCTTTCCAGGAGTAAAATACTGTTACATATTAAAAAAAACCTCAGGTTTTCCTGCCTGCTTTCTTTGCCACCTAAATTGCTTTTGAAATTATTACTTTTTATTGCGTACCAAGGTTCAGACAGAAAGGAAGGATCTTCAGAATTTAGAGGGACTCTTGCTGAAATTGGTGCTTGTTTTAAGTGAGGGGATTCAACAGGACACAGAAGTATCACAGATGGATGGACTGTGGTCATTCACATCTCTGCTGTGTGGGCTTCGCAGACAGACTAGCTTATCCCTCCACCCATGTACTGGAAAGGCCAGAGACACCAGAGGAGGATCATGACTGAGGTTGTAGAGCAGCCTGGCTGCAGTGTTTAATGTTACTGCCAGGTGCAGGGACCTGTGTACCTGCAGAATCATAGAATCAGAGAATGGTTTGGGTTGGAAGGGACCTCTAAAGGTCATCTAGTCCAACCCCCCTGCAATGAGCAGGGACATCTTCAACTAGATCAGGTTGCTCAGAGCCCCGTCCAACCTGACCTTGAATGTTTCCAGGGATGGGGCATCCACCACCTCTCTGGGCAACCTGGGTCAGTGTTTCACCACCCTCAGCATAAAAAATTTCTTCCTTATCATTCCTTAGTCTGAATCTACCTTCCTTTAGTTTAAAACCATTACCCTTGTCCTATAGCTACAGGCCCTACTAAAAAGTCTGTCCCCAGGGGTTATTCCCACCATGCACACATCAAGAGTGCAGGTAGCTTCCCCTCAGGGGTACCGTACAGTCACGCTGCAGCTGTCCCTGGTACATTATAGTGGGTAAGTAACGTGGACCGGTGTTAAATTTAGCCCTGAGGCTAAATCATGCAGGAACAGCCCACGCAGAGTGATTGAAGACCCAACTTGCGGGTACTTGACCGTCTCCTGGCTCTGCTAATGGGCAGAATTCTCAGTGGCCTTGTCTTGCTGGAAAAAAACCAGTTTATTTTTATTGTTTGCAGGTGGTTTCTGTACATGGTCTTTGTTTTTTTGCTGGGAGCCATTTGTACCCGTCAGTCACTCCGCTATGACTTCATGATAGCAGAGAAGGTAACGTGTTCGAATAACCCAGCATGGTTTTATATAATGGTGCTTTCGGGTTGCCATCTGCCTTACTGAATGCTTGAATTTTCCAAAAGCCTAAGGAATTTGGGTACCCATCCCTCATTGAAATTCAGGGGGATTTCCCCATTGCAAATCCCAGTGTACAATTGCTTTGAATAGCTTTGCATTCACCAGCATATCCAGTAATGCTGGATCTTGGCATAATCACCCGGCAATAGCTTTAAGAGCTAAAATATGCTAATGTGGTCTAATGATAAGTGCTGTATTTTATTCAATGTATCCTTTCTCATTGGTGAAAGCTTAGACCAAATTGAAATCTCTAAAGAACCCCACTGCTTATCTTTACTAAGTCAAGCGAAGCTTACATTTCCATATCTAGCGGGCTGTAATTGCAGGGTGAGCAATAGGATTATTAAACTCGAGACATTCCACATGGGTGTATATACATGAGGGAGGATTGTAGTGTTACAGGCAATGAACCTTGTCATTGCAGGCCTTCAAAAAGAGAGCAAAAGATTTTGGTGTGCGCCATTGTCTTACTTTAAATGGGATATGGAAGGGCTAATTTTCTGTTATTCAGCGTTATCCAAAATCATGGGTTCACCGTATTTGCCACTATTTCTTGTGATTAATTTAAAATGGAGATATTTGCCATTTATTTGATTTGTAACATGGTTTTAATCTAAAATATCAATTTGAAACTCTGGATTTGTTTTCTTTCTAAGTAATTGTAGCTCTGGACTTCCTCCAGACCCCAAAATAAACTCCAAATTATTGGTGGGGCTCCTCCCACTTCCTGCTAAGGTGAAAATCATCTCTGTTTCAGGGGAAAAAAGAATGAGCCTACCTTCTTTAAGGCAACATCTTTGTATGACAATGACTTAGTGGGCGAGAAGTACAGTAACTAAAAGAATCAACTTTAAATGAATCAGCTTTAACGATCTCTTTCTCTTCAGCTGTGTTTTAACTTCAAAACCCTTGGGGGGGGGAATAAAAAATCTCCCAGTAAAGAATCTGAAGATATTTAATAATGTTAAATATTTTTAAAAAAACCCCCAACCAACCAAACCCCCCAAAAAGCAAATTCAGTGTTCTTTTCCCTAGTATGGAACAAAACAATGGTGCAATCCCAATATTCATGTTGCTTCTTTGAGTTATTACAAGCTGCTTACAAGTTGCTTTAGATTTTAATGACTTTGGAGAGAGGGAGGGGGGAGAGATCATTATACATCCAAACTCTCCCTTTCTGTCACTCACAGGTGAGCAAGTGTTTGGCTGCTTTTCTCCCTTACAATACTTGTTTGGCTTTTTAAACATAAAAATGAGATTCAGTAATTTCACTTCTAATGAGCTCAAAGTGCCAATTTCTTACAAAGTATTCACACTCTCCGTGCTCAAAACCCCCAGTAAACCCTTTCATCAGCCTTGGTGAAAAGGACTCTTCCCCTCTAACCCTGATTTGAATGTCAAGTAGTACATTTAAATGCAAGCATTTTTGGCAGCTAAAATAATATATGATGTCTGGCGCAACTGATTGTTTCTTCCAAGTATTTCTCAGAGCAGGGCAGGATTAGAGGAGAGGGAAGGGAAGATTCCCCATCGAGTGTCTGTCTGTTGGTCTGATGGAAGCTGATATCTGCTCATCTTTGCCTCAAGTTTCTTCTGTCCTACAAGATAAAATTCACAAGGCCAAGTGGATTTTCATGGGGAAAAGAAATGTTGTGGTAGGAAGTTTGTACAGTTCTGGACCACGCCATTAGTTTTACACACCTTCCCCAAACAGCAAACATTTTATGGCTTTATACCCAATCTCCTTTTTGCTGGGTGCGGATTTCATAGGTGAGGAAAAGGCAGATGTAGCTTGAATCATCTTTAGCCATGTAAATTTTTGTAATTCCTTCTAATAAAGCATGTTCCACCTGACTTCAACAGGGGCAGAAGCTGGGAGGACCCGTGTTCGTTTAGACCTTATTTTCCACGAGAGCCGGGAAGCTCTCAGGAGCAAAGGACGTGTGGGATGCAGGGGACCTGCATTTGGTGACATCCTCTGCCACGGATGTCTGTCTGCACCTCCAGCAGCTTGCTTCAGTGGAGCGTGGGCAGGACGGATCTGGACCAAAATTTGGGGGTTTTCTCCCTGCCTGGCCTTTGTGCTGGTGTTACCCCCCATGCCTTGCCTTTCTCTGTGGCTGGCTGCTGGCTGTCAGACTTGTGTGGTCTTGCAGGACTTGGGGATGGCTCAGGTGACCCTAGACCTTAGTTTCCTCGTCTGTGTCTGCCCACGTCCTTACACCATGGTACCAGGAGCACTCCCATTTCAAAGCTTTCTTGCACAGTGTTCATATTGTGGGGTTTTGTGTATTTGTGTGAGGTTTTTTTAGATACGCTCCCTGTGCTTGCAGTTCTTGATAGTGGGGACCTGTGCAGGGGGACCCCAGTCCTCACTTCTGTGTGATAGACCATGAGCTGCCTTCCTTTCCCTCCACTCCCGCAGGAGATGCTCCCCGTTTGAAAGGGTGCTCACTAAAAACCGGTAATAAACCCAGCCTTGTTAGCACTGTGGCTTTAAAGATTTTTATTTTTTTTTAAGTTTCATGTTGGCCAAAGGAAATTCTTTTCTCATTGAAGACAGGAAAATAAGGTCATTGTATTATATCCTTCGGAGCGTATTTTTTGAGATGCCATTTGTTTCAGTGGCAATTTTGATTTGGTTTTACTGTGGATTTTCTTTCAGGATTGGTTTTCCCCTCTGGGACGCAGGGGTTTGTCTTCCTGTTTTGGATGGTTGGAAGCCTGGGCAGCTTTTCCTGTATGATGTGCTCTGTATATAAGTGATCTCTCCTGAAATAAACTCACTTCCAGTTACTTAAGGGGAATCTAATAGCTGCTGCTTTGCTGCAATTGCTCCAAGTGACAAAGAATTTCTTGGATATGAGCTTGTCAAATGGCTCTGTCGGTACAGGATGTTCAGTATTAAATTATTTTTATGGGATAATTCTCCTGTATTAATTGCTTGCACTTTATACCACAGACCAGTTAAATTGCTGCTTTCCCAGGGCTCGTTCTGTTCATTTAGCAATGTTACAAAATATATGTGATCTCTTAAAATACATGTATTTAAGACTGCTCGGGGGTCTTTAAAGAACAATATAATCAACTTTGCATTCTCTCCGCTTCCTCCAGGTATCCTTGGTGGGCTTCTTGTTTTTGCTAGGGCTGTACATCTCGTCCCTGGCCTCCTGCATGGGAGGCCTGTACGGAGCACCCAGGATCCTGCAGTGCATCGCCCAGGAGAACGTGATCCCCATGCTCGCCTTCCTTGGACGTGGGGTTAGTCACCCTTTCTCTGAGATTGCTGTCAAACCTTCACCTGAAGGAAAACTGGTGATTTAAGAAGCCAGGATTTCTGTGTGTCCGTAGGGTGAGATGGGGGATGTATGAAATGCAAGGAGGGGAAGGCTCGGGATCTGGAACCCTATGCGTAGGCAGAAAAGCCAGGAAATGGGTGGTTTTATAAAAAACCCAAGAGCTCAGCTGCCCGCAGTCCTTCCCCTGCCGGTCCCCTGTGCTGCACCGCCTCTGCCCTGAGCCCTCCCATGGGGCTTGGCACTGTGCAGGAGCAACCCTGCTTCGCCCCAGCATCTCGCTCACCCACCTCTGCACCCTGGCCCCGGGGCTGTCCTGCCCCCGTACACGGACAGCCCTTCCTGGGCTGCCGTCGGTCTCCTCCCTCCCTCGGACCTGCTTCTTCGAGATGTCCCCAGTAAAACAGCCACTTATGATATAACTTTGCCTGTGGGTTTTTTTTGCAAACGCCGTATCTATGCTGGTGCTGATCCTAACTGTGACTGAGGGAGGTACCTAGCTCTTCTCTGCCCTCCTGTCCAGGGCAGAGGCCTGAAGCTTTTGTCCAAGCACTTGGTGAAATGGATGGTAACTGCCTCTTTATCTTTTTTTCTTTTTTTTCTTCTTTTTTCCTGCACATTTTCTTTGAGCTGTTCCTATCCTCTTTGGTAACCTCATAGCTGAGTACGTGACTAGTCGTGGTGCTGTGGATTCAGTCTGTGTGCACTGGAGAAGAGGACGCTTCTTTGTAAGATAAGGTGCCTTTTGGACACTATAAAATAAAAACAAAGAATAGATTTGAAAGGTTAAGTTAGGGGGCTGCTAAGCTTTAGATATGCTTTGAAACAAAGCCTTGCTTTGAATATGACAAGAGGCTTTTTCCTTGTCCTCACAAATAATCCTCATTCACATGAGCTATTCTACCGAGATCAGTCAAAGTACCAGTCACTAAGGACTCTGTAGTCTTGGGCTGTGCATTCAGAGCAAACTATTTTTTATGGCTTTCCCTCTTCTAAACAGGGAGAAAATAATTCTGTCACTCTCAATAACCTGCAGTACCTAACTGTCTGTACCGAGCGACTGGAAAAACCTTATGATGTTTTGCTCCTTCAGAGCAGCTTGTAAATACAGAAAAATATTTTACAATATTGGTATTTATGATTGTTTTAAAATACTTAAATGTTTTATAAGTATAATAATTCTCTATCCTTTGTTTTATGTTCCTCAAAGTAATTTTCTAAAATTAAAGTCATAATAATAGCAATAATAATAATAAATAGTAATAATTATAGGGGAAGCAGGAGCAATAACAACAGCAAAAACTTCCAGCTCCTGAAGGCAGTCGTCAGGTGGTCCCAGAACAGGCTGTTCTCCACTTGGCAATCCTTGTGAAATTCTCAGTGATTTAGCAAAGTTGACTGCAAAGTTGATGCCTTCTCTTCTCTGATAGTTTTCTGTCTTTCTGTCAAATTTTCTGCTCTGAACTCTGTCCAGGCAGATTGCCATGTTGGGAAGGGCTCAAAAAGAGGTGAGAAATGAAACGCAGATCACTTTTCCCCCTTCCTTCTCTCTGCCACCTTGAAAATTGTCTAGATTGGGTTTATGGACAGTTAATAAATTTAGTTTGCCCTTACCAAACTGTTCCACATCAGTTCTTCTTTTCTGTGGTTGAAGAAAGTGTTGTAGTCACCATAACCCCAGCTGATGGGAAGGACACGAGTGTTTTCTGTAGAGTTAAACCCAAGCCAGAGGGGTTTAACGATCCTGAGATCATCCCATCTGTTCCCCATCTCAGTACATCTTACTGATAGCGAAGATGCTTTCTGAGAACCATGTTCCTTTGTCCCGAGACGTATTTATGTTCCATTGTGAAAAGGCGTAAGGTCCAGAACTGCTCCCCTTTTCTATTAATAAATAAGAGTGGAGGAAATAGAAATAGTTTCCATTTGAGCTGTGTGTTTATTAAAGAAGCACATGCAGTAAGTGAAAACCTAAGATATTTTGTAAGATACCTTGTAAGATATTTTCCAGCAAGGTCTTTATGCAGCCTGCACAGGCTTATCGGGTACCGAAACGGCAAGACAGTGCCTGGCCCAAGGAAGGGCACGTTAGACCTGGGATTAAAGTTCGTGAGCTGATGGCTCAAGTCTTCCCACCCCCGATGCCCTTTGATTTGTCTCTCTTTTTTCTCCTCCTTTCCCTGCCTTCACCCCACCCCAAAGGAGAAGAACAGGCGGTGTTTCTCCTGGCTGCCTGCCTTCCTGACGCATGCCCGGCATCACTGGGGGTTGACTCCCACCCTCCAGCATCCTCGGCTGCCTAACCTCTCTGCTGCTTTCCTCCTGCCTCTGGGCAGATGCGGCTTGGGTGGATGAAAGGAGGGAAACCCCAAGTGCAGAGGCTCAGCAGACCATGGATTTAGCTCAGCGTCGTGTCAGGGCAGGGCCAGAAGCTGCTGATGTGAAGGTGGTACTGCTCCGTGCAGGCAGAGCTTCCTTGACTGTGTCTGGCAGTCGAAGCCTTTCCAATGGCAGCGTGTGGGAGCCTTTTGGGTAGGCAGCGATGCGGAGTCCTGTAGTGAAATTAGAGACGAACAGTTAACTCTAATTAACACATTTTATTGCCAGACTTCCCATAAGCCCCACAACTCTCTCTGAAGGTTTATTGCTGCTTTAATGACTTTGTTTTACTGTGGAGATACAGAGTGAGAGTGGATGAATTTTCCAAAGACAAAGCTTGAGTAAGGCTCAGAGGTGAGGTGGGAGCTCAGCAGCTTTTGGCTTCCAGCCTGTTCTTTAATTTATTAAGCCCGTGAGCCTCTGCTTGCACATGCATGCATGTATTTCATGACAAGGGGGTACTGCAGACCGCCCAGGTAACCACCCATGGCAGCTGAGCAAGTGGGGAGTCTTCACGGCGAGGCTCATGGTTATTAATTTAAATGTAAGTTTGTTTTATTTATGAATTAGAAAGGACCCAACAAGACTCCAGTGGCTGCAATTTGCTTAACAAGTCTCATCACCATGGCTTTCATCTTCATTGGGCAAGTGAACGTTCTTGCTCCGATAGTCACCATCAACTTCATGTTGACGTATATTGCTGTAGACTATTCCTATTTCTCGGTCTCCTTGAGCTACAACGTTCAACATAAACCTGACAAGACCCAGAGAGAAAACGCTAGACCTGCTCACTCTTCCCAGCCTTTAGTTTTCAACAAGCCCTCCGGCTGTGCAGCAGATGGAGTAATTCAAAGCAGATCAAACGGCACCTTGCTGGAATTCACAAAAGACATGGACCAGCTTTTTAAACCATTTCGTAGTGAGCCAGGTACTTGCAAAAAAGGAGGAGCTGAGAATTTAACCCAGAAGGTCAAACAAAAGAAGGCAAAGCAGCCAGCCAAGCAGACGTTACAAGACAGCTTTCTTCTGGATCTCCATCACGATGCTCCCCCGGCTCAGTATGGCTGGGATGAGACTGCAGAGCCCCACAACGAGAGCTGGCAGGACCTGGCTGAGCAGGGCTGTCGGTGCGATGCGGGTCCATGCTCATCACCCGCTGCGGATGCTCAGCGGACACCCGGGCTGCTGGAGCAGGGGAAGCAGCTCTGCAGTGAGGTGCCGGCGCTCCCTGGCCAGAGGGAAGAAGGTAAGGGCTGTAGGAGATGGACATGTCCATGCTCACGGGGGAATGGTTTATAACCTTGGTCCTCCGGGTGCTTTCCTGAAGGCAGGCGTGAAACTAGCTTTATACGGGGCTGTGATTCGGTGATTCATAGCAATAATATCATTTATTCCAGGTGAGGGTAGAGTTCATCGCAGCGCATCACAGGAGAAGTTCCAATGCAATTTCCTATGGAAGATTAATCACAGGAAAGCAGGCAGGACTATATTTAGTGTAGGATTGTTTACTATATACTCATTATTCTACACATGCACGCTTAATGCTGTACATTAAAAAGGTTTTGAGTGTATCTTGGGGTTTACTTCATCCTGGTGTGGGGTAGGAGGGCTGGAGCCGTGCGAGTCTAAAACTCAGGTTATCAAAATGCAGTGGTCCCCATGCCACAGGTGGAGTTTGTAATTCAACATCCACAGCTAAGAGTCTGAATTTGTTTTGTTGGCGATGTGGGTATTTGATATTGAGTGTTTGCTTGGAGTTTGTCATCTCAGTGCTGTAGTGTTTTATCAGCATTAGTCAATTAAGCTTCATAAACCCTTCTGAGGGAGAAAAGTATTATTTCTCGTTTTTCACAAATAGGGAAACTGAGGCAGAGATAGGCAGGTGTGGCCTTCAAATGGACTCAGTACCAGAGTTGGCAACTTTCTTTTTTTTCTTGCATATCTTTTCTGTTTTCATTTCAGAGGTTTTGGTTTAACTCTGCCATACCCAGCTGTCAGCTAGAATTTCTGCTTTGGTTTTCTGGAATCTGGTAATGTAAAGTAGGAGAAAAAACCCACATTATAGCTCCTTTCTAATGTCTCTTCTTTTTTTTAATTTCTTTTTTTTCTGTAGAATCAACTATAAAGCAACATAATCCAGAGCTGGGAATTCAGCAAATACCAGAATCCTTCTACTCCAAATTCTGCAATCACTGGGTTTCCTTTGCTGGTGTAAGTAATTTTCTTTTATTTTGAGCACTGGTTTGTGATTGTAGAAAACAGAAGGAAATTCATCACTTACTGTAGTGTAAATACACTCCAGTACTTTAAAATGGCTTTTGATTCTAGTATTCCAGGTCACCTGAATTAAGTACTCAAGGTACCATGCATCCAGCAGTTCAAATTCAGAGAAAGCCAGATGGCATATTAATTAAAACAACAGCAGCAGCAAAAAAAAAAAACCCAACCCAACCCAAAAAGGTGCAAATTCAAAGTCTGGCATCTTAGGACTTTAGAGATGCATGGCTGGCTGGGAAAAAGTCAGTGTCCCTCTTTTCACTGTGTGCCAGCCTGCTTTTTCTTGCCCTGGGATGGAGTGAGACACCACCTTCAAAGCTGTGTTGCTGTTGTTTATGAGCCAGTTTCTGCAAGCTGAGGGTGGGGTTTCATTAGTGCTGACCTCCTGACAGCAGCAGCCCAGCTGTGAAATTCCACCTCTTGAGGGAGGAAAGTGGAGCATTCCTTCAGCACATTACTTTAAAGAATAAATAACTTTTCAATAGCTTCTGTCTCAAGCCGCTGAGGAGTTTAGGACATTTAATCTTGGGAAGCTGGATTAATGGGCAGATGACAGGGAAAGGGTCAGATATGCATAATGAATGACCCATATGGCTTTGCTGCATGGACGGGGATTTCATAGCTGTGTGTAAAATGTAACAAACCCACTCGAACAACACACCGAACCCTTTTAGTTTAATCCTCAGATGGAGTTTGACACCTACTTTTCAAATTCACTGCTGCTGCTGCCAGCAGCCAGCTCCTGGCAAGGGGTCCCGCTGGACTGCGGTGCCGGGGTGGGATGGATGTGGAGGCTCCTCTCTACGATGACATCTTTAGGAGGTTGCACCCTGATGCTGTCTCTGGGCTCGGTAACTAACGTGGCTCCCAAGGGCGTATCATTGTGCAGCGGTCAGCTCCCTGCCTTTGCGGGGGAATTTGCTTACGGAGATGACTGACTTGTTCATTAAATCAGATTTGGTTTCCTGTCAATAGTCAGACTTGGGAGGAGGTTGCAGCAGAGCTGAGAAAGGATCGACGACGCAAAATAAAATCACCGAAGCAAAAATCAGATGCATTTATTCATCCCGGCTCCTTTCCCTTCTGCCCTCTCTCTTCAAGCTGCACCGATTGTGTCAGTCTGGACTCATTTAGCTCTTTCTTTGTATGCTGCCCCTTGCTGCTCCTACCCTGATCCATGAAGATGCTACCCCTGCCCCCATTCATATGCCCCTTGAGCCAAATCTACTTCCTGAGCTGGTGAGCCTCTGCATACTCTTCTTGGAGTAGCCCAAGCAGAGACCTGAGGTCCACGCTGCCTCCTCTAGTATTCAAGGTAGCTCACTGAAAGCTATCTCCATGCTGCTGAAGATGACACTGTAAACCTGTGCTGTCCCTCCTTTTAACAGTGAGGCCAAACGAGGCTCCCTGTAACACAAGAACCTCATTACCAAGAAACTTCAGCCATGCCATACCCAAATCTTTTCAGATAACGCTGGATGGAAATGTTCCACGTGTGGCCAAAAGCCATGCACCGTGGAGCGTTTTGCAGGCAGGAGACGACGTGGTTCCCCAGGGGTCCTGCTGCACCACCGTCCTCAGCCACCAATGCCCAGGAGCATCCATCCACCCACGTGGTTGCGACTGGCATCAATCCTCCCACGGGCAGGACCCAGGCTGTGCAGCAGGTCTTGGGCAAGGAGAGCCTCTGTTGTGTCCCCATCCTGGGGCATCATTAGGAGGGAGACGCCTGAAGGGAAACGCTCATCAGGATAATGCCGAGTAGCTGCATCCTGGGTCCTGACTGTGCACAGCTCTTATACAATGCTCCTGAGAAGTCCCTGAGAAAGCTGGAGGTGCAGAGATGCCATCAAAGCACTGTTTTTCCATGAATTTAAAGCCAAGATTCAACATTTCTGGCAAAAATAACCCCAAAACCAGTTACTGGTGCGCTCATAACAACTTGAAAGCTCCAGCACTGCCTCAGTTATTAAAGAGTTTTCGTTAGCGTTGCAAAGCATGCTCATCTTGCAAGGTTGAAGAACAAGTTGTTGACCTGGTGTGAGGCTGTGTCTGAAGGTGAGTAGTCCTTCCCAGGCACTGCAAGGAGGCCAACGGAGCCGCTGGGCTTTGCAGAAAAAAGGACTGTCAGCTTGTCATCAACGTGTTATCTCACGGACTCTGGGGTAACCCCAAACCTTGTCTTCCCAACAGGCGATCGTGTCCCTCATCATAATGTTTGTCATTCAGTGGATCTACACCCTCGTCAGCCTGGGTGCAGCGGTTATTCTGTATTTCTACATCGGCCAAGTGAGCCCAGGACTCCCCCTTGGTGAGTATTTTTTTTTCTGTATTATTAAATCTGCTTAAAAATTCATTGAACTTTAATTTAACTTAATTAGGAATCGAGACTCTTGTGTTTAATATGCAGGTGACACAGTGAATGATGGGGTTTTGTTTTGTTGCTAGTTTTAATACGTTTTCTCTCTGGCTCTTTAATTTTATATTGGATTCTAACTGCAACTAGCATGAGTTTGATAGTCTGAACATTGTGCTTTTTGCTTTAATATTTTGTACTTTAAATGGCAAAACCAGATACTAATACTAAGACTTAACAGGGATGGCAGATTGTAAATGTATCACGGCAATGAGAAAAATCTGCTGTAAATACATTTTAATAAACTTAATTAATCAATCTAAACTCACCTGAGAAAACTTTAATGAAAATGGGAATTATGATGAGTTTCTCATTAAATCTCAGCATTCATAACGGCAGAACAAGAGAGCCTTTTGATTCCAGAACTAAACAGGTTGAATATGTTGGGAACGTAATCTGGGAAAATACTCTTAGGCAGAGGGCATTAGAAAGGTCTGTGCATGTGATCGGCTTAAACAAGTTCGAAATTAAACAGTGAAGCACATTCAGAAAGCAGCTCTCAAGAGCCTACAGCTCCTTGGCATGGCTGCAGGAGGGGTTTGCATTGGTCTGTGTCTCTGAAGGGAGAGGGTGATACGCACGCAGCGTGCGCGTACTCACATACTTATGCATAAATACATACGTAGGTGCATACACCCTTAAGTACCTGCACATGTGTACATGTAATTTTTTGTCCGAGATGAGAAACCAAGATGAGAAAAGTCAAAAGAACCTGAGTTCATGTCTGCTAAGCAATGCAGAAATAGCTACCCAGGTTTATTTAGATGAAAGATTATTAGACACCAGGTAAGTAGGTACTAGATTTCAGAAACCCAAACGATGAGAAACCAAAAAATAGTTGTCACTCGGTAACGATCAAAACATCGCTCACCAATGCTTCTCTTTCTACTCTAATTGATTTCTTTTCTATTTGTCTGTATGGGATAGTAGACAAGAGCTGAGATTGTGGATAGTACTTGCTAATTTGTATCTTTTGAAATATATCGAAGTTTTAACAAAGTTTTTTATATATTAAACATATATTAAACAAAAAACAAATAAGGTTTTCAGGCTTTGGAGTTCTCTTTGCCTTTGTATATTCGCTATATTATATCTCTGTTATCCGCTTTTGAAATATTTACCAAAAATTACTTTAAAAAGAATTTCTCAGTCAGCAGGTAGAGGATTTTGGAAGGTGATCTGAGGAACGGCAGTGTAAATAGACATTTTTTCCTTGGTTTCCTTCGCACATGCATTCCCATGCATACAGTAAAACAACTCATGACAAAGAAAAAGTTAGAAATGAACACTCAAAGTTCCGCCTGATTTTTAATTGGCTGTGAGTGAACGTTATTGCGCAGCCACATGGCATCCAATGATCCATGAGTTTGTTCTCCAAAAGACTGAACGACCCTTCTGTCTAGAAAGGTTGGGAGACACTGGCTTGAGAGATGCTCTGGATTAAGGACTAGGTTAAGACTTTGGGAGCAGAAATGCTCTGGGATTTCAACACATCCCTTCTCTTCTCTCTTTCTCCCCAACAGCCTAAGCCAAATCCAGCAGGTGCTGCCGGGTCTCTGTTCTCCTCCTTGTCCCTCACCACAAGCTTCTCCTGCTGCCAGCTCTGGCACTTCCCTGCCCCTGCAGTGAGCCAGTGCAGGAAACTAGCTCTACAGAGAAATCAGGAAAAAATGGTGTCGGTGTAATAAGCTAAGCCAGCTCTCCATGGGCTCAGACGGGAGGGTATGAATGGTGAGACCACAGCCACCCTGGTTGAGGTCGGTTGAATGGCTCCTCCCGTCTCCCCATCCCTGCAGTGGGAATGAGCTTTGCAGTCCCGGGAGGAAAAGGTGCTGCAGCGGGTGTCTGTGCTTTGCTCACTGCTTTACTGAGGCTTTCACAAGCTGTCAGTCTGGGAAAGGATAGCTGTTCTCTGTGGGAAATTTGGGTTAAGTTTCCTGACAATCGTTTTAAAGCTGCAGAGTGTGGGGAGACTGCAGGAGTGTTCTCACCGTTGCAAAATCTCTGTGTACTGAAGGCTAATAACAAGCATGTTGGTTTGAGATTTATGCAAAAATTCAATGGCGTAATGCTATTATGAGAGAATTAGCAGCGTACTGACTTCTCGTGCCTTTTCTCTGTAGGAGCAGCAGCAAATTTCAGTTTCTTCGGCTGGATTAAGTCGGTTTTGATCACCTCGTGCAGGTTGGTACCAGTCACTCGGCAGTGACCGAGGCGGTGCTCGTTGTTCCCGTGACCCACTAATGTTCACAGAGAGGGGTGGCAGAGTTGACTTGCTTATTACCTTAAGCAGCCCCTTCTTGCATACTCAAAGTTATTCTTAATAGTAAAAATAACTGTTTGCTCCTGTTAGCCTGACGTATGGCTGACCATGTAAGTGGGAGAGCTGGAGTCTCCTCTGCCTTATACGTGGACACGTCAGCTGCGAACCATATCTCGGTGCCTGAAGCTTTGTCTTACCGCAAAGGTCTGTGCTCAACCTTGGTGGCTCAGGTTGAACTGGAAAATCTGGTAGGAAATGAGAAACAGGAGACTCCACCTCTTCCACCCACCATCCATTGAAAGTGAATTACTGTGGTAGTGGTGGAACAGGCACACGTGGCAGCTGTGCTTGAATTTCAGAGAGGAAATTTGGGGCGGAAGCCACAATAGCTACAGGGCAAATACAATAAACAAGGTCTTCAGTGAAGCAACCATTCAGTATTGAGTTTGCATGGGACTGCAGTAGCATTGTCTTGGGGTTTTCTTTCCCAGAAGACCTTAAGGGTTTTGTTTGGTTGGTTATTAACTAGTTTTGTTAATCTGTTTTGATCCTATTAATTATTAATTCCATCACATTTGGGTTTCCCACAGAAGGTGGGAAAACCTTGTCTGCCACTGTACAATGCAGTGGGATTTTGAGGTTCTCAATCCGTTGGGTTGCTTTTTTGTTGCGGTGGGTGAGCACTGTAGTAAGGACTGCACAACACGAGCTGCCATGCATTACGTGGGCAAAGTTGGTGGCTTCTTTAAAATAAATGAAAATCCAGGCTTTTAAGCACATTCGCACACACCCGTGTCTGTCTTGCCAGCTCCTGCCTCTGCCCACAGTCCCTATAACATGGCCACACGCCTTTGGTAGCAGAGGTGGCTTGGGAGAGAAGCCGGGGGTGACGGGACCTCTCTTGGGTCCCCACGGCAGGTCTGTGGCATGGCCGAGAACAGACAAGTCGGCTCTCCCGCATCACATCCATCTCTCTCTCTACCGGACCAGTGGATGTCTCCGAGTATGGGACTGGGTCCCTGAAGACCCACCTGTCCTGCACACCTCTTGCCATGAATAGCTTTGTTCACAAAGCTACCACTGCCTCTCACGGCAGTTGTGTAAAGCTGCATGCTTGCCTAAGCGTTAGGGGATGAGAGCCCAGGTTAGACAGACTACCCAGAAGAGGAGGAGTGAGGGGGTGCGGAGCACGTGCGCTATGTTTTCTGCATATCTCATTTGGAGTAAGGGGTTGTTCCTCACCCCTTTTCACATCTGCTGGACTGGTGACATGAGCCCAAGCCAAGGGTGAGGAGGTGAGGACGGGAACAGGGCGCATGGGGCCATGCTGAAGCACTGCCAGAATTACTCATGGCACAGTGAGTCAGACCCCACTGCTTCGTATCCCAGACACTTGTCTGTCCGGTTCCACCTCAGCATGTGGGCGGATTCATGGCAGGTCATTTTAGCTCGGTGTAGCTATGATGATAGAGCATAATTTTCCTCCCTGTTGTCCCTCAGTGCATCTCAGCCCTGTCTCCTGCCCGTTGTCAGAGGCTCCGCATGGGAGGCTGGTTGAGATGCGAGGCTTCATGGAGAGTTACCATGTGTGGAAAGGAGAAATTATGCCTCCCGGAGAGGCAGCCCCACTTCTCATGGGTAGAGGTGCTGTTGTCGCAGGGGGATTTTATCCTGCAGGTTACCAGACTGGCACAGTCCTTAGTGCTTCGATCAGTGCAATCGATGAGCAAAGACCCTGCTGAGGAGGGCTGAGTGGGGAGCTGCGAGTGCCCAAGGCAGAAACTGATCCTGTTTCGCTCTACGCAAAGAGGGCAGTCTCTGGGTCAGCCAGCCAGCTGGGTTGCCTTACCCTAATGCCAGGGCTCCTGCTCCTGCTGGCACAAAGACAACTTCGGCTCTGCTTGGGGGTCAGGTGGGTCATTCTGAAGCCCACCTTTGCTACGCTGCAAGAAATTGCATTGTACTCATCTACAGGTTTTTCCTAAGCTCTGTTTTCTTGAAATCCAAGCAAAATATTTTAATGAATTGGAAGTAAAGAAGAAATTCCATTAGTCTGCAAGAGAGTTGGAGTCAACCAAGGATCCTTGACACCTCTAAGGTTCTTAGGTGCTCAACGAGGTCTGAGTCGATGCTATAAGCTCTTACAGTTTTGACTTGCAGATGTGCAATAAGGTTTTCTTAAAATCAGCCTCTGGGATAAAGAGATTGCAGGAAAATCTCTTTCGTTTAAAAGAGTTACAAAAATAATTGTACACTAAAGCTTAGGAAACTATAAGAAGGGTATTTTTCATTAGAAATGGTTCATGCTCCTTATTCTCCTGCACTGTGTGGAAAGAGTTTGCCATAGCCAATGTCCAAAGAGGAAACTTATTTGTTATGAAAATGTATATTTTCCAGTGTTTGCTGGGGAAAGGAGTATATTTTTTGTGCGCCTTCTAAGAAAAATGTTTTCAGATTAGCTCTGTGCCTCCCAAAGGTGCCAAGAAGGATTTAGTCTCTTCTCGAAGCGCCCTGCCTTGTTTGCGCAGCCGAGAGCATGGCTGCTAATGGATGGCAAACAAGGGGTGATGCAGGCGCCTCTGCTTCTCTGTTTGCAGGAGAAGGCCATCTCCCAAGGAGCAGATCGTGGTGACACCATCCTTTGCAACAGTTGGCATGGAGACCACGCAGCTGACCGAGGAGAACGCAGACTTCGCCTCGCGGGACCGCTACCACCAGTCCTCGCTTATCAGCAGAGAGGAGTTTGGGAATCAATTCCAGTAAAGGACACCAAAAAAAAAAAAATCAAGCCATCACTTCAAAAAGCATTTAGAAATGCTAATGGCTGCCACGGTGCCTTGTGAAATACTTGAATATATATGAAAAGGATGTGAATAGTTATTTATATATTCGAGGCTTGTTTGTTTATGCGAACTACAACATTGCTGGGTTTCAAATCTTATCCTAAATGGGGGAAAAAATGCAAATGAAAGGCCCGGTCCAGGGAAGTGACGAGTTACTGAGGACAATATAATCCTTCTAAAGAATTCAATTATAAGCACTATTGAGCTCTAAAGACTGTCGCCGCTATAAAAGCTTACAACACCCCATTTCAAATGTCCTCTGGGTGACTAGGGACGCTTTGTGCCTGGGAGCGGTGACCTCGGCAGCAGGAGCCAGCGCCCTGCTCCCAGCTGTGCCACGGATGGATGTGACCTTCCAGGTCAATTCACTTCTCCTCTCGGCATGAATTTGCCTGCTTGTAATACAGTAATTTTCTACCTCAGCATTTCAATTACCAAGGTCTTAGAAAGTACTTTAAGGCATTAGACAATAGGCCAGAATCAGTGGCAAGTGCAAGAAGATTATGAAATATATTCACAACTGGAATCGCACATTTAAATGCAGTAATGCAGTATAATGACCTCTACTGTAAAACTGTGAAATGATGTCTTAGAAGCCGTTCATAGTGATTTCCCACATCCTTTCTGATGTGACACCTGGGACCTGACAACATAGCTGGGTCCAAATAGAGCATCTCCTGGGTGAAGGGACAGATGATTCAGAAGTGCCTTAACAAAATACGTTTAACCTCGTCTTTGCTTATTTTGCTTAAAGCCCACCCATAGTGAGCTCCCACAAGGAGCCGTTTCTCCTGCTGCCGTGATCTGGGATGCGGGAGGTTCAGTCGGGGATGCTGCAGGATTTCCCCTGCAGACCTTAGGGTTGGTGGGCAGTGGCTGTGGGGTGGGGTGAGGTCTTGCATGGACGCCCCGTCACCATCGCTTCTGCTCCCCAGGGAAAAACGCCTGGCTGAGCGCTGTCCTGCCTGCAGGCAGCGGTCCTGGCAGAGACCCAGGGAGGTGCAAGGAAGGGTTCTGGGTTGAGGCAAGCCCCAGCACCATAAATCAGTTCTGATGCTAAAAGGAGGGGGAAATTACTGCCTTTCACTTCCTTTCACCTCGGAGCGTTTCAGCCTTTAGATTATTTATTTCTCCTTCTGTGCAATAAAAGTTTGAGACACCAGAAACTCCTCTCCGTGCTTGCTGTGGGCACACTCGATGCCTTTGAGCACTGGGGTCATTCAGCTTGCTGGCACTTGGTGCCCCGGCGTTGCCAGCCGTGGGGGGACCCTCTGTCCCATCTCATGGTCTGGCCAGCTGCAGCTTTGGCTCTTCCAGTTTTCTTACAGAGGGAAGCAAAGGAAGCTTTCTGCTGAGATGAAGAAGAGAGCGATCCTGGCGCACTGCGGAAACCATATTCATTTTTCAAGGTCGCAGGTCTTTTACTAAGTGTTTTTAACCTTTATTATCTCAATAGAGGCAAGAGGGAAGTTATGCTTGTGGGGCCAGCTCTGAGCCACCTCAAGTCAGTCGTTCTGCATTGGAAACGCTCCTTCCAGGGTTCCTTCCTTCCACTGCCTTTTGCTTTTGGTTTCCAAAGAGTCTGGATCTGTTGTGGGGATGTGGCTCCATGCTGAACCTTCCCCGGGGTTCCCTGGGATGGGTGACTCCAGGGAGCCCTTCCTGTGCTCATAGCATCCTTGACCTTGGCAGCTACTGCTGTTGTGCAAACTCCAAACACTCCTCGGTGCTGATCCACTGCTGGCAAGCCGCATGATGCTGTGTTATCCCCTGTAACAGTTTGATACACAACCATAATGCTGTTACTGTAAAATCTTGTATTTCATAAAGTCCTATCACAGCAAAATATTGCGGGGTGCCTTTCCTCCCGAGGTGGGGATTGCCCAGCCCTGCATTTCTCTGTAGCTTGGACAAAAGAAAACGCCAGAGCACGGCATGAAGTGATTAATGGGCTGAAATTCCTGGGTTAACTTTTTCTTTGTTACCTCCTAAACAATTTAGTTCCCTTAAAATAAGGCAGCAATCAGGAGATCCGGAGAGGGAGGGTGGGGAAGGTCCCTTGGCCGTGTACCTTGGCTGTGACCTGCGCTGGTTGAAGCCTGATGACTTGGTGGTGGGGAGCGTTTGCCGCTGTGACATGGCAGTCCCTGCTCTTCCCCAAAACTGGGATGCGATGGGCCAGAAATACAAGCAGCTTCTCCCTTGGGCTAGCAGTATTGGGAAAGTGCCCCACAGCTTTGCTTCATCTGACTAAGTCTGCAGCAGCTGTCCTCTTCCCCTGCCACTACCGGTCCTGCCCCTTCTTTAGCTCCAGCAGCTCTTTGCATCCGAACGTCCTCTGGAACAATTTTGCTTGTGTTTGCCTGCTGGTGAAGCCTCCGCTGGCTGCTGGGGGAAGGCACCGTGCTGTGCAGGGGCTCGGTGAGAGGACATCCGGCGGGCTCTGAGGTGCAGGGGTGGGTCGTGCCTTGGTATTTCTGGAAAAAGGCAGCGGCAGGGCTGGCATCAGCACCAGATGGCAATAGCTGCTGTCGGGGCCTGGCAGTGGACAAGATGCTCTGCAGAGCTCGTCGTGCCAGGGGTTTCTGGTCTTTGGGCTCCACGTGCTGCTGCTGAAGAAACTCTTCCACCTCCTCCACTGGCACCACCAGCACAGCAGGAACCAGCTCCCTCTGCCACCCGGTGAGTACAGGCACTTGGTCCTTTCCTCCCCTGGTGTCTGCAAGGGAGGAACGCATCGCATAGGGCTGGTTTCCTTGCTGCCGTTACAGGTTATGAGTAGAACAACTTTCCCATTCAATGCTTGAAAAGGGACATGCTGATCTTTCCTGGAGCATTAGCTCTGGTGTAGTTAATAGTAAGAGCGGCGTTCTTGTTTTAAGAGCCTTGCTTTAGCAGCGATGGCCCCACAGACTGGGTGATGTTGGAGACTCGATGAGTTCAGGCCGTACGGGTATGCAGGGCTTTGCATCTCAAGGAAGCTTTTCCAGTGAGAAAGAAAGAGCAGTTGCATTGCCAAAGATCGGGGTGTTGTGTCAAAAAAGTCTGTAGCTTCTGTAGCACTCTAAAAAAAATGGGTGAAATTAGGGGTAGAAATTTATCAGCTTCACGTTTAGTGGTTGAACGGAAGAAATGCGGGTGGGCATTGCCGCTGTGAGTGGGAATGTGTTGCTTTCACCCTCCCCGGGAGCCAGGCTGTGACTCCAGATGCTGCGGCTGTCACGAATATTCAGGATCCCTGAAGGTGGGTTTGGGACCCAGCTCTGAACATCCTATGTCCCGTATAGGTTGCAGCTTGGTTAATATTACAGAAAGGCACTCCTATCTTCTAAGCCATGTAAGCTTTGTTAGCATCTATAATTACTTTCTTTTCAGCTGGAAATTTTACTTTTTTATTATTATTTAAGAAATGAGAATGTTTTGCAATGGGTCAGGGTGTGAAAACATTTATTTTCTAGAGAGATGTGGATGTAAAAGCTCAGTTTTGTTTCTTTTTGAAGACCCCAGCTCTAAATTGGTGGCTCTAGTTTTAATGGCTTCCTTTGCAGAACGTACAAGCACAGAAGGCAGTGGAGGATAAATATTTTATTACTTGCTTTGCAGTATTGCCTGGAAGCTCATCCTGCGTTTGTGATCCCACAGCACTAAACGGGTCCAGAAATCAGAATCTTCTGCCTCAGAAAACTTGCAGCACAAATAGTCAGGACTAAGAATGGGCAGGAGAAAAGTGAAGTTTTATTGTGGTATTAGCATTAAGAGACAGCTCCTCAGTTGGTATAAATTGTCATCATCCACCTGGATCTGCCTGTGTGTCCCATGAGGAGTCTGCACGGGGAGAACCAAGCTCCTCAAATCCATAGCTTAGCTCAAACCCATCTTTTTTTTTTCTCCCCTCTTGGCTCTCTCTTGATCAGCTTTGAGTTTCCTTGGATGGTCTTTGTTGTGTACAGTGGCCAAAAAATCACACACCTGCCAGGGTCACTTACTCAGAGCAGACAGTCGTGACCACAGTGTTGAAGCAGCAAAGAACGATGACAAAATATGAAATGATGCTTCTGTGCATGGTTGAATTTAGGCACGGGGGGCTCTCTGTGCCCCGTGAGCTGGCATGCTCTCACCCGTGCACCTCTGGTTCAGACAGGCGGAGTTTCTTAAACAGCATCATACTTACACCTGCAAGGTTGGAAGAGATTTGCTGAATTGCAGGAGCCAGCCTAGGATTAACATTTAGGTTAGCAGGAAACCGAGGTTATTTGAATTACTGCCGTTGCCTGGTGAATTTTAGAAAAGGCAATTACTGGGATAAAAGAGAGAAAATTTTGTAGACAACCTATGAATTTGGTAACTCCATATAAAAGAGGTATATAATGGACTTGCTTATATTCCTTACTCCGCAGTGGCGTGTTGCTGAGACCCAGATTTGGCACAGCATCACTTAAACCTGAGACGAGGTGAGTGGTAACAGCCTTAAAAGCTATGGATGAGAGGCTCTAGCAGCAAACTGCAGGCTAGAAATAAATAGCTTTAAAGCTCATACGGCACAAGAAAGGCTCCTTCCCTTTCCACCTTCTGCCCCTCATGGCTTTTTTCACGTGACTTTCATGCACATTCCCCCCACCCACCTCAGCCTGTGCCCCTCGATACCTGGGATTTGCCCCCCCCCTGTGCAAAAGCCAGTGCAAGCACGGGTGCACTCCCAGAAACGCAGCGGTCAAGGAGTGCACCTGTAACTTTATCGGATCCAAACGTTGCTCGTAAACTTTGGCAGGGGCTTGTTTTTGGATTTTAAGGGCACTGCTGTGCGGTGTTTTGCTCAGCTCCGAAATGGCCGCGTTTTTCTTGATGCACTCCAAACCAGAGCTGGCTGAAAAGGGTCCTAAAAGAAATAAATCAGAAATTTAGAATTGCTTCTTCCCAGCAAGATTTAAATGGCTGTTTTTTTTGTTTTTCCCCAGAAAAGATGGGATTTATTTCCAGTGACAGGATTCAAAATGCAACGTCATTTTAATTTGTTGTGCATTTTTCTGTGAGGGATGAGAAGAGATCACAAGACCTGTATCCATTCTGACCTCCAAATGTCAAGTATCTGGAACAAGCAGCTTCCAAGGGAGGTACAAGGCAAGCAGTTCTTGTAAAAATAAATCAATAAAATACCACCACCCCCAAAATTTCAAGAAAAATGGTCAGGTACTAAGTGCCTTTTGGATGATTGGCATCCATTAATGGATGGCTTATGGCATCAAGAGGAGATGGGGAAGGTAATTAATTACTCAGTTAGGAACTATCTGTCCACTTCAGAAACTCGGGACTTTTAGTAACAAATTCCAGGAGTAGAAAATACTCACTTTGTACCTTAATTCATCATCAGCTTCAAACTTGTCTGAGGTTTATGAGCCTGATCCAAGTTTTGGACAGATCTGGGCTGAGTTTCAAGGGAGCTGCAGGAGTTTCATGACATTGGCTGGGGCTGCGAAAGGCTCCTATAGAACCGGAGAGAAGGACCGGTCAATGTAATCATGACGAAGTGCTAGAGAGATGCCTCTTCTGTAGAGACCCCGAGGGTTTTTGGTGATTTCAGACTGAAAAAATGCAGAACTGGCCAAATTCGGTTATGTGTTTCTGGCCCCTCAGACTGGAAAGTGGAAATCAAGGTGAAATAAAAACAAACTACGGTTTTTCTCCGCCAAAACAAGGTGATAGGTGGGATTCAATTAATCAACGTATGATATCGATCATGTTTTATATAGTTATGTTTTAGGGCTCCTGTGTTGCTGTTTTTTTTGTTTGTTTGCTTGGTTTAGCTCCTTCGTGTATTGAACGTGCTGGTTGCTTTCAGATGGAAGCATTAAATGCATTTTATATGTAATTTGGGGAGACGTTTGAGGTCACAGCCTCTTTCAGGAGGATGCCGTGGCATTGTTTTACATCAGGGTTTGCCTGGTCCAGCCGACTCCTCAGGCACGATTTCATGCATTTAAATCTCCTATTAGTTTTGTGCTCTGAAGGAGGGAGGGGAGCAGCCCTCAGCCCAGAGCTGCCCTGTAACCGGTATTAGCGGGATGCGGCAGCGGAGCGTGCAGTCATGCCACGGGGATAAACAACTCCAGGACCACGCGGGGAAAAGCCAAGCGCCG